CTTCACCCAATATTATTATAATATAGATTGATATAGGATTCTTGCTATCTAACCGTCATTAAGTACAGCTAGTCTAGCCGTCATTAAGTACGGCTAGCCTCTTCCATTGTTTTTAAAGCAATTTGAAAGCATTGAAATTTTTATCCAAGCACCTGTCTAACATGGCTAGGACCAGCAAGAACAACAGACACCATTGCTGCAATGTAAGATAGAGTGAAGTGGAGGTCCATGATCGCCCACGCCAGACGGCAAGGCACCGGATGATGATTACACCACTACTACTAGAATCTAGATCTAGATCTAGATATATATCTATATCTAGACCAAAATCGCAGAAAAAATGAGTGAAAACATGTTGAAGAGAAGAGACCTTCACGTCTACTTTAGCCTAAAACTAAAACACTAACAGTCTTAGTCTACTCTAGAAAATCTAGATCTATTCTAGATCTATATCTAGATCTAGAATCTAGATCTAGATCTAGAATCTAGATCTATAGACTATATCTATATTTTCTAGATCTAGAATCTAGAACCTAGAGTCTAGATTAGGTCTTTGACTTTGCTTTGCAATTTTTGTCCCAATCCCCACGATTGATGATGATGAGTGCGATTGCACCGACTGCAAAATTAGCAAATTCTTGCTGAGAACCGAAGTGCAACTGCACTGAAATACATAAGAAAACCTGTGCCAGTAGAATAACCATGAGCAGGATGCTATGAAAAGAGCAGTAACTTGAGCAAGTTTCAATAACAATGGGGCCTAATGTCAACACAACTACCTGTTTTCATTCCAGAGAATCGTCAATGTTGGGGAGCATGTAGACTTCCGGTCCAAGCAAATTTCCCTTCCACTTCAAGAGAGGGACTTGATATTTCAAGGGAGACAAGAAAAGCTTAAATGGTTGTGCCCGTGCGTGTGTAACTGGTCTCGTCATTTTCCCTTCATTGTTTTAGACCTACGGGTACGACGCCCAATTAGACAATATGTAGGTCTATAGTCAAAAGTATTGCATCAATAAAGTCATCTTATTACACCACTAGACGTATACTCTCTCTCTCTCTCTCTCTCTCTCTCTCTCTCTCTCTCTCTCTCTCTCTTAC